TTTGTTCCTAAGATGTTGTTATAAATATAGAATGCCTATAACTGAAGTTGCTAATTCTCATTGTACCGATCTTAACCGTCCGTTAACATCTAAAAATTGGGATGTCATTTATGATGTTGTACAATTTTTACAAAAATTTTATGTGGCTACACTTGAGTTTTCTGGAGCTTATTATCCTACTATTGTAAATGGTTTAGTTCACATTGCTGAAATTTCTCTTTTACTACATAAGTTGAAGGCGAAAGAGGGATATACTAATGTTGTTGAAACCATGCTAGATAAGTTTAAAAAATATTTCTTCCCAATTCCCCCTATTTGCTTAATTGGTGCTATTTCCATACTATCAAAATGATAAAGTGTCACCAATTAATCAGTGCTTTATATACTTATATGAATATTGGACCAACTGAAACTCCTGATACTGAGACTTGTATTTCTGATCTGCACAAACATTTACAAATTTTGTATAATTATTATGCTAACATTGTTGATGCTTCTTCGGTTGTAGATGCAAATATTCCTTCAAGTAATACTTCAACATCTGGAACAAATTTGGAAGATGATGATAATGTTCAAGATTATTTGATTTGGTCTACACTAAGAGAGCATCAACAAACCAGTAGCCGGAATATTGATGAACTCCAATTCTACTTGCAAAAGTCACCGGAGCCCCTCACAAAGGATTTTTTACCTTTGAGTTGGTGGAGGAGCAACGCAAATCAGTTTCCTATTCTTTCGGCCATGGCTCGAGACGTTCTAAATGTGCCTATTTCAACAGTCGCATCAGAGAGCGCATTTAGCCAAGCAAGACAGCAGTTAGGAGATACCCGTCATTCATTAGGCAGCAACGCTTTGAAAGTTCTAGTGTGCTTCAGAGATTGGATTAGATCAGAACGGCGAAATCAAGGGCGCGACGAGGTAGATGAAGAGGAAGACAAGAAATTGGAGATATAATGGTTTATGATACCGATTATAATACCGGAAACCAAGCACCTCACATTGACATGGAAGAGCTTACAAAGATGATGCAAAACATTTGATTTACTATTACTT